GACAAACAGACATAACACTCGGTTGGACAGGTTGTTCATCGAATACGCATTTGACGGTCAATTCGAGTGTTTTTGGTTGGTGGTGCCGCCACCTGTGGCGTGCACGGTCGGTTCCCTTGCGTTTAACGTCTGCACACTAGCGCCATCTGTTCAGCGTACTATCCATCACATGATACTCAACAGATGGCGGTAGTGTTTTAGTGACTATGTTTTGTGGAGAAAAATATTAAATGTGTTATTTCTGTTTGTCTGTGCATCTATGTTTCTTTTTCGTTGTGTGTGTGTGTGTGGGTGGGGTGGGGGGGGGGGTTAATGTAACCAATACTAATACCTTTCTTTCTGTTCTTTTATTCGTTTTCTATATCTCTTCACCATCACCCCAAATCCCATCATTTTGACGAGAGATGACTTACTTGCATGGTGCATGCCCAAGTCGTACTACAGGATAATATGCTGAGCGTGGTTCTATCACAAATCGATAGAACTGAGGAATAATGAGGTAAATTCTACACAGTATTTTAAAGGAGCCAACTCTAAGCAGGTAATAATAGCAATTAATAATCAAACAACCATAAAATGGTAAGAATGAATTTATTTATTTTAAATACAGTAATGACCCGATTTTGTCAGCCCCTCCGCGCTTCAGCCTTTTTTTTCAATAATTTCACATAATCATAAATCTAAATTTTTCTCATTCGTCATTCGTCATTTAAGAGGGATATTTAAAGTATACTTTGGTGCAATAGGTTCAAGAAGATTACTGAAAAAGGGCATGGGTTTTGTAGAACATTGGAAAACATTTTCAAAAAAGGGGGCTGACAAAATCGGGACATTACTGTATTCCATTTACATTTACATGATTTATCACATATTTCCGGAGAGCTTTGAGGTAGGAGCGTAGTTGTTTTTGTAGATGGGCACGTCATTTGTCGGTTTCTCGCGAATTGGGGCTCAGTCTGGAAAAACTAATAACACAAACAGGTAGAAGAATAGTTCCTCTATGATTTGTTATAGTTTGTTTGCAGGATTGTTCTTTTGTTTGCGGGAGACCGACGATTGACGTGTTTGTTTGCAGGGGCGATTGCGCCCGGATCTCGGGGTTCTCCGGATTTATGGTCGTAATCTAATACACACAGTTGATCACAATACGAGCCTAAAAGCTGCAGTGACCTAGTGAGCACCATAGCTCGAGTCGTCTGAAAGTATTGTGTATCGCATGGAGAGCCCAACCGAGATTCTAGCCTATTGAGACTGCAGTTGGTCAACTCTCGGAAAAAAAAAAATATATGTGAAAAACTAAAATACATACAATCGTGAAGGTCTTCGGCGACAGTGTCGTATGACAGAGCCTGTCATACGACATTTTAGTTTGGTACTGTACTATGATAGCTTGCTTTGCAAGTGTCGGAGGCAAAGGCAGTCAATTATCACAGAAAATGTGTCGACTACCGTGACCGCTTACAAGACTGCATAAGATATATTCATTTCATTTCACAGCTCCATCAATGTTGTTTCGTACATATGATGTAAACAAAAGTAAATTGCTCAATTACTCAAAATAAAGATGATTTGTCACTTTATAAACCATCGAGCACCATTTTATAGTATGGTCCGTGTTGAGTAAATCAAGTTCCGTTGCGTTTTCCGTCGAAAATTATGAGTATCAATTTGTTTACCTAAAAAAGGCTAAAATGAACATTTATAGAATATTGGCATCCTATACAACCATTTCTCCATTATCACCAGCATGATACAATCTTTCCTAAGTAAATTCACTTTCATCCTAGTGGAAATCACAAATATTCACTATTTTCCGAAAAATGCAGCTGCGCAGGAGGTAACCTCTACCTGTGGGTGCAAAGTTGTTATGCATAATTTTCCATGAAAAAATCTCCGATACATACCGAAATAAAACAGTTGGTTTGCAAACACGTTTTCTTACACGATTCAAGAAAAAGTTTCCACCGGAAATTATTAGTTTTTCCTTATGTACCGATTTGCTCCAAAAATCGTCTGTTTTACTTGGAGAATTTGGAAATTATCCTCCTTCTAGTAGTTCTAACTTCGAAATGAAGGTGGCGAAAGCTTGGAAAAGTTTCACTGCAAGACGCCAATACAGAGAGAGGTTTTTCGGTAAAGGCCCAAACGCAATGTGGACGGAAGCGGAACGGAAACGGAAAGTTTGACAGTTGTCACAAATGACATCAAGATGCCTAACCGAAGTCGATTTGGTTCCAACAAGTTTTCAATCCGACAAGTTGGCTTACTCAGATCGGGCTTTTCCGCTGCCGTTGCCGTTCCGCTTCCACTGTCATTGCGCTTGGGCCTTGAATGCAGAATATCTTTTTGAAAACATGAGGGAAGAATCAAGACCCAAGCGCAATGGCGGCGGAACGGCAGTAGTAGCGGAAAAGCCCGATCTGAGTTAGCCTACTTGTCGGATTGAAAACTAGTTAGAATCAAATCGACTGCAGCTAGGCATCTTGATGTCATTTGTGACAATTGTCAAACTTGCCGTTTCCGTTCCGCTTCCGCCCACATTGCGTTTGGGCCTTCAGTCGTAGCGCGACGTCAGGTCTATGATGGTGTTAAGGCCCAAGCGCAATGACAGCGGAAGCGGAACGACAGCGGAAGCGGAACGGCACCGGAAGCGGAAAAGCCCGATCTGAGTAAGCCTATTTGTCGGATTGAAAACTAGTTAGAACCATATCAACATTGGTTAGGGTTCTTGACGTCATTTGTGACAACTGTCAAACTTTCCGTTTCCGTTCCGCTTCCGTCCACATTGCGTTTGGGCCATTACTCATGCAGGCGGGTTGAAAACTTACAAATTTTGGGCGTTGGTTGGAAATACTATCTAATATGAAGCTTTAGTGTGATAATTTATTAGCTAGAGAATGATTTAGAAGAGGGTAGGCAGATAGTTCCGTTAGAGTACGGAAGTATGTAAATTGAATAAAAGTTTAAAATGAGCGAAGGGCCATTAATGCGACAGTACAAAGTCAAACGCACACCTTTTGCCTAACCCGTACGATGTACGCGGAAATTTGGAGTATGTCTTCAAATCTACAGAATGAACTTATTCAGCGAGTTCGAAATTCGCGTTCGCTTTCCATGTAGACAAGGATCGTCGTAGAAGCTCTCGATTCCGACAAAGCGAAATTGTTGAAACGCCAGAGAGAAGCAGAAGCGAAACACCCCGAGAATTTTTTTTTTAATAATTCGTTTATTTTTCCAGGCTCATTTGCTGTAGCTTTGCGGAGCCGATATTTATTGTTTAGATAACAAAATTACTTAAAACTGACGTTAGTAAAGCGGGGGCCGATTACTCGCGGCTATCTCGAGGTTAGGGGTAAAAATCCCCGTAACGTGGGTAGATCACCTTTTCGTGGTACGTTACGGGATGTAAGATCTACCACCGATTCCTAGTCCTGACTACTTCAAACTAAGGGAACAGGATTTTTCAGTAATCCAAGGAACACATCTTAGTCCTTGTTACTTTTTATGCCTTGTTGATAGTGACAAGACTCGGCTTTGTCTACCGAGGATGATCTTGAAACAAGAAAAAAAATGAGTAAGTTGTCTTCATCTATGTGATTCCTAATCTTCTAATCATTGTTCCCTAGTTTGAAGTGGTTAAGACTAGGGTTCTGATGCATGGTCATTATCGGTGTCATACCTTAATTTTGTTGCTAAGGAATCCAATTTTGACTGACAAAGGGGCGCGCCTTTGGAGGGTGTTTCAACACTCCGAAGGGTATAAATAGCGGGACCTTTCAATTAGAGTCGGATCCTTGCGATAAATGCAAGAGTGGCAACTGTAAAAAAATCGAATACTTCATCATTTCTCAATAGTGATGGAGTAATACGACATGCACTAAACTAAGGACACGGGATATACTACAATAGATCAATTTACTGGTCGCAGCAGTGTTAGGTCCCGAACAGAGGAAAAAAAAGGGGTAACAAATTGTAACAAATAGATGGCAGGGTAGGGATTGTGAACACAAGGTTTGGAGAGCAATGTGCTCTTGATCTCAAACTAGGCGACACTCTGATGAAAAAGACAACCATGGGGGTACACCGATGGGCAGCTAACAACTTGAGGGAACACAAGATGACACTAACTACTAAATCCTCAAATCTATCCGTTTTAAAAACACATAAATTAAATTCAAATAGTAGAGATCTCGGCTCGCCAAGACATCTCCAACGGGTATCGCGGGTTGTTTTCCTCGGGCCCTGAGGGAATCTCGAGAATAAACGAAGAAATTTATTGGAAAATGCTCAAAAAGAAGCCGAGAGTTTGCAGGAGAAAATTGTTCTGCTCAAATTATAAACATTTTTAAAAGTAATCCGAACATAAACACATATTCAACTTGTAATTTCTCGTTGTAATGTGAACTGACTGAGAGAATAAAATGTTAATGATAATCAATCTTAAATTATTTTGCCATGTTTGCGGTTGTCACATGGAGTTCCAGAGAGTACGAAAACTTACTGACTTATGCATGAGCTGTGCATCCAAAGAAACGATTGCCAAACCAAGAATAATCACTGCTCTATTATTTTACAATAATTTATATGTTAAGAGAAAGGATCGTCTACGGGTTGATTTTTATTTGGCTGTGAAATTATGACCATAAATTGAGAGCTTGGTGACATTGATTAAATATTCCTATTATTACTTAGTAATGAATAGTGAGCCTAGTTGTGAGCAGTAGTTATTCATTATTATATTATAATATGTATTTATAGCCCTAGTCCTATTCACATCGGTCATATGTTCTGTAAAAAATGTATTAGTATCAAGTTCTGTTGTACGTGCCATGAGTATGCTATTCTTGATATTTTCGAAAACTTACCCTGCTGCTTATTTTAAACTAACCTTAATTTGCACAACGGTACAATAAAGCACAACACGTCGTTTTTTTTTTCTTAGGTTAAAATAACGGAGTTTTGTGGACTGGAATTTTTCTGAAAACCGATTTTTTTTTCAGAATTATAAAAACTACAAACACACTGAACTACAGAAACTTTGGATGCCAGATTCCACTTCAATTGAGTGCTATGATTGTTCAGCAAAATTCTCGACGTTTCGAAGGAAGCATCATTGTCGTTTGTGTGGTCAAATCTTCTGCACGAAATGCTGCAATCAAGTTGTACCGGGAAAAATCATTAATTGTTCTGGTGGGTAAAGGTTAACATGACACTGATAAGCAAAACTAATTATTATTTTACAATTCTAGGAGACTTAAAAGTATGTACGTATTGTTCGAAAGTAGTTTTAACTTATTTGAAATCACCAAACATTGCCGCTGATTTAAAATCCGATCTTCGGGCCTTACAAGAGGACCTATCCAATAAGCTATCCACTGGCGCACCTTCAGCTCACAGCGATGGTGATTCTTGTGTAACCAATATTCAACGTCGTAAAATCTCTGTTGGCTATCAGGAAGAACGGTTTGTATCGACTCAAACCCCAACGATGTCCAGTGCCGATAGAAAAACAATACTCCAGCAGTCAAATTCATTACGAGCATTATATGAAGAGATGATCAAAGTGCTATCAAATCAAAATCGGGGCCTTGATTTGATAGGATTCCTAATCAGTACCCAAAAGTCGTCAAATAACCGCCAAGCGATAGCAATTTTGAATGCAATGACGGAAGCTGGTTTTCTCATACCTCTATCTGTGAATATTACCCAGTCGAATTCAACCGATTCCGAGACCGATGAGATAAGTGTGCTAGCTGAATTCGACGAAAGTATGATCTACAAGTTTCTATGGATGGACGATGATGTTTCTCAAACTGGGTCGTACGAACTTGATGTGGACTTCAAGTCTAGTTCAGTACATCTAATGCGTCAAAGTAGCGATCAGGACGAGTTAACCCAAGGTAAGCATCGTTTTCTGAATGAATCAGCTATCAAATTCATCATAATCATTTCATTATCATATACACACTTAGATTGTTTTACAGGAGTAAGTATTTTTTGCTGGGTTTTTGAATTACTGAAAAACTCGGTTAAAATTCAAATGACCGTTATTCGTAAAGAATCGATAAAATCGACAAATTTTATTTTTTATCATTAAACGGGGTTAACAGAAGTAAGTCTGTAATTTTTTGCATCTTTGAATTTTACACAGATTTTTAAAATTTTAGCAAACAATCCGCAATTCAAATATTCGGTAAAAATTACTGACTGATTAACCCAAGTAACATTTCAAGTTTTATCATGGTTTTAAAGTGTTCTACAAGTCTAAATCATAGTCTTCAGAACCCTAATAAAATCTAAATTGCTACTTGGGAAGTGTGTACGCATCGGCATAAGTACCACCGACAAACCGAGATGAAACATAAATTTCACTTGGGGTTTGCTTTGGTTTTTAGACTGATGTGAAAATATTTGATAATTGATACCATATGTTTACACATCAAAGTACAAAGGGAATAGCAGGTAAACAAACCGATTATTCGATACGCCACCCTAGAATGCGTCATCGCTCCATGAAACTGTAGCATCGAAATGAACCAATGTATGCTGAAAACGGTGTGAACATTTTGTGGTGTGACAAAATTATTCTGCTGGGAATCTAATTGGGGGCAAAATATGTAATATTACGGTCGATTTAAATGTGCATCCATCCGATTCATCAAAACTATAGATACTATAGATTCCATAGAAGCACAGGTAAAGTAGAATGTAGGTAAACGCCAAACGAGCATGACGTCATCATGGACTTTTCTGCGGGAAAAGTATTTTAATAGTATGAGCACAAAAAGCTTTCCACACTCCACATTTCAATTTATTTCGCGTAAAACGGAAGAAGGGAATATAACGCAAACCACTGCCCCAGATTCATTGTTGCAAAGATTTGCACTTAATTTTGAAGTTTTGCGCACGAACGAAACAAAACAAACTGCACAACGAAAAGCTCTATGATAGTATGCACATTTTTCACGGATCCCAGTAAGATCATTTATTTTTCATGGTTGCCCAAACAACTTTTTGTGCCTCCGCTTATCTATGGAATCTATAGTATCTATAATCAAAACCATAGTATGAAGTACAAGTTTTGCTTACAAAAATCTTTGCGCCATTTTCAAATGTTACGCAAGTGTGCTTTGAGCAGAAATTAATGTCATGTCGGATTTAGTTTTAGTTTTAAGTTTTAAGATATCAATTGTTATACTGACATGCAGGTTAAAAAACCTGTTTAAAATACTTAATTGCCAAGACATGAACAATGTAAAAACACTTAGATATAATATAAAAAAAAAAAAAAAAAAAAAAAAAAAAAAAAAAAAATGTCATGTCGGTTTATCGGCGTAAGTACTACATAACGACATCATTCTTGTAAATAGGTAGGGGAAATGGCTCTTATGTTGGCCTATGGACCTAAGATTGTGCCCATCGCTAAAAATATGCTGTTTATCAATTTTATCTAGATGAACGCGTCATTGGGACGGTACTAATGGATATTATTGGTCGCTATTGAAAATTTAGTCGATTGCTGAATTTACGTATGGACCCAAATTAGGAGCATTTAGACCGACGTTACATCCATTTCCCCAATCATATTTTTATTGGCACGAGGACATATTAAAGTGCTTGATCGCTCACGGTAGGACCCGATTTTCTATGTTGTGTTATAATTAATTAAAAGAGATAGATTTATTGGCCATCCTGAAAAGACGGAGGCATTAAACTACTGTCAAACAGGGTAACACTTGTGTGGATTTATCGTTTTTGTTGATTAATATATTAATAAGCATAAATATCAACGTCTCTCACGCGAGCATTTGTTGTCTACACTCTGTTTATTGTGTCTGACAATTGAAAAGTCCAAAACGTTAAATTTTCATTGTTTTTTTTTTAACATAATCAATAGTCTGTAGTCTGAACGTACTATTGGGATGCAATTGATTTTTGAGAATTTATTCTTATTGTCTCGCCCCAACTTACGATTTACGATGTTTGAAGGCGAGGTGATTATAAGACTTATAATCACCTCGCCTTCAAACATCGTAAATCGTAAGTTGGGGCGAGACAATAAGAATAAATTCTCAAAAATCAATTGCATCCCAATAGTACGTTCAGACTACAGAGTTCTAACATGTTATAGCGCTATATTGATGGTGGTTTCTGTGTTGCAATTATTTGACAACCGTTATAACAAAAGTGTGCGTGAGACCGCGCGCTACCTTTTTAAGTAGTTGTGATATCGCGATACCTTTTTGTTTCTTCTTCTTCTTCGTTTTTACGTATGGATGTTGGATTTTAGTGTTCGTGAGATTGCGCTTGGAGATCTCTATAACATGTTATAACCATAGAGGTAACTCTAAGACCACTGGGTCTCGAAGAAAATCATTATTATTTTTGGCTCACTCAGTACCAGAACAACGGTCCCAAGCAGTCCCAAGCTATTTCACTCACCCCTGCATGTTCTGCATGAATCCACACACCCCTGATGTTATCTGTCAAACTTTCATAGCGAATCAAAACAAACATAGTGTAGTAATAGAATTTCAACTAGAATGGGGTACGCCATAGAAGTACTTGGGACCAATAGGCTACTCAAGCAGCGAATCAGTTTAAAATCGTTAGTTTCCACCTGTTATAACTCTGTAGTCTGAACGTACTATTAATTCCAGTTTCTAATGGTAAATACTATTCAGTATAAAAATATTTAAAGACAGATCTGAATTTACTGGAAATCCATATAAGGTGATTCAAGAGACGTTTCTCAGTGGAACTGACAGCTAGAAATATAGAGTGTGTGAGTGATCTGGTGTTAATGGTGTTGAATGTAAACATAAACAAAGTAGAAATTCATATGAGAATAAACTACCAGTTCTACTTTGATCTGTCAAAAGTTCTTGGTAAACAAAAAAGTCAGCTGATCGCAACTGTCTCGGGGACAGCCTTATTCAGATTTGATAACCAGCCAAACGAACTGCTGGGACAAGATCAGCAAACTCATGGTCTATTGGTTTGCTGCAAATCAGCTTGCAATTTGTGTTACTGAAGATTACAGTTAACATAGACTTCTCTGCCAACATTAGTATTAGTGAGCAGTTTCACTACTACATGCGTTTTACTGGTTGAAAATTTAAAAAAAAAATTGCTGTCAAGTCGAACACTTTGACAGCTAATTTCGTGGTTGAAAATAATAAACAAATCGATTTCTCATGGCAAGATTGTATTAGTGAGATCATGCGTCGAGAAGTCAATGAGCAATGTGCTAGAAATCAGCAAAGAACTGAGCTGTGCGTGTGTTTAGCGTCACAGGCAATCAAGTGCCTTCCCGCATAAATGTGAACCATTCCTTGACCTTACCAAAAATGGTTAAACATTGTTTATAATCCCTGCTAAACTTTAACTGAAATGGTTACGGAACTTTACATGAACGTTTGTGTGATAAAGTTTTAACCTTATGTATTAGGTTTTTTGGAAGTGAACCTTACAAATAATGGGTTGTTAAGAAGCATTACCATTCCAAATTCTTGTTTTGTCCATACATTTTCGGAAAAGGAATGGATCACATCATTCGAGCAGTTTAAAATGACGTTTCCTACCACTCGAACTTTAACGTGCAACAATATTTTGATACTTTTTCTTCTACAACCTCGAGAAAATAGGGTCTTATTTGTAATATGCTTGAAAAATCTGGAATTTATTGTTTCATTTGCGTAAAATCGCTGGTAGAAGGTCGTCTCAAAACTACTCGACAATATGATTAATTATATTAAAACCTTTTTATTTATGATTTGAGAAATTTAATGATAATGGTTATGGAAGGCAGTAAGGTCAATTGATGGTTTTGTAACATCGATCAACTTTATGTGGAATATATCGCGAATAGGTTGCCTGTAAATTAATGATTACCAATTCGCGATATATTCCACGTAAAGTTGATCGACAATACAAAACCATCCATGAACTTTACTGACTACCATAACCATTACCATTAACATACTCAAACCATAAGTAAAAAGGTTCCAATATAGTTTTCTTTCCGAAAATGTATGGAGAAAACAAGAATTTTGAATGGTAATGGTTCTTAACGAGGTTCTTAACAACCCATTATTTGTAAGGTTCACTTACAAAAAAAAACATAATACTTAAGGTTAAGGTGATTCCCTGTGGTGTCCTTTTTCGTGTTACACTTCGCAATTTCACATGTAAAAATAATAAAGTTTCTGTGAATGCACGTAGCTGAAACTACTACTTCTTTAGTTATTTGTTTGTATTACTTCTGCGTGAAGTTAACGATTTGCATAGTTGAAGATGCTAATTTCGAATAACAGGCTAAATAAAGTGGTAATTTTTATACGATAGATGAAGAGATGAAAGTATAGAGTTTATAGTTTCGTTATAGTACGGCAGTGTGAAAATTGTATTTATGGAGTAGAAAGCGAGCAAGGACAACTTTTTAGGATTAGGTTTGATCATCTCTCTTTACCAAACTCCCCCGTTGGAGAGGGGATTTGTACCTTCCTAAAAAGTTGTCCTTACTCGCTTTCTACTTTTTAAATACTATTTTCACACTGCCGTACTCTAACGGTACTATCAACTCTATACTTTCATCTCCTCATCTATCGTATAAAAATTACCACTTTAGTCTGTTATTTGAAATTAGCATCCTCAACTATACTTCTTGTTGTTTGCTGCGGAGAAGCAAGCAATGTCTGAAATTTGCAGATGTATAAACCTAGTATATCTTGAGTTGTGTGCCTTTGAAATTGCTAGATGTGATGGAAAATTTGCTTCTACAAGGAAACACCTAAAAACTTTATCACACAAACGTTCATTTTTTTTTTTTTTTAATTCTTTATTTAAGAGATTTTTAGCCGAAGGCTAGTTCATCTCTACACAAACGTTCATGTAAAGT